GCTGAACTAAAGCGCCAACTTGAAGCCGAAAAGGCGAAAGAACCGCCGAAACCCACAGCTGCTGATCTGATACCGGACCTTGATCCGTGGTATATCGGCTCGTTAGAGCGATACATAGCCATGCTTCGTAGTGAGGCCGCGGAACCGCAAGTCGAGGAGAAGGTCAAGATTTTCAAGGCGTTCATGAAAGTCGAGTCTGCCATGCGGGCCATCGTCTCCCTTGATACCTCAACACAAACAGTTCCAGTGGAGCCAGAGGTACCACACCAACCAGAGCAAGCTGCTCGCTCCCGTGCAACCTCAAACATCTCCACTAAGAGACAGGATCTGAATATCCAGGTACCGCAGGAGTCGGAATTTGACGACTTCGAATATAGTCCTGGCGGTCGACCTATCTTGGCGCGCCAAACTACGATTCCGCCTTCTGAAAACTACCAGGGTGTTCCAAGAGCGCCTCCTTCAGTGCAATCAACAACGATTCTAACTCCGACAAGCTCCATTGATGATGATACGAACAAGACGCCAGTGCAATCCCCACCTGAAGAGCAGGTGCAACACCAATACAAGGCATATGTCCCACCTACTAGCATATCAGTTGACCCTGCTCCATTGAGACACAGACCAACAATGTCCTTCTCCAATACGCCAGGAGTATCTTCACCGTCAGGCCGTAGCAACAGTAAGGGGCACGATGAGATATTCTTTGGAGCTCATCAACCGACTGCTCAGCCGCCTGCCTCCCGGCCCTCCAGTAGCGAAGCAGACGTCCCTTTGCCAGCACCATTAAAATTGACGCCGCGCCGCCCGATCTCAACTGCACCAACGAAAGAAGATCCGAACAGAGTGCTGAAGGAACTAGTATCCAAAAAGGTGCATTCCGGGCTTCCAAATTACCGGATTCAGGATATAAGGGCTAGGCTCGTTGACATAGGATCCAAAGCCAGCGCCGCCGAAGAAATTACGAAGACATGGGAGAAATCTGCATCTCTGAGTCGCCGCAAGAAGGACGACGCCCGTCGCAAGCGTCAAGAAGAAAACGAGGAGCACAACGATGATCTGTTCAACAACAACGAGATATCGTACGCGGAGATGAATCAGCTCGAGGAAGAGTTCAAGCAGAAGGAGGGAGAGCTCAAAGCGCAGGAAGACAAAGACGAGTATAACGATTATGTGAAAACAGTGTTCGACCCCATCTTCACCAGGCTCCACGGCGAGATCAAAGCCCTGATGGACTTGCACGTCGAAACTAAGCGCATACTACCGTCTTCCGTAACAGGACTAAAGAGTATGGAGGGAACCGATACTCCAAGCACAAAAGACTGTTTCGAGCTCCTGAAAGACATCCACGAGCAAGTGGAAAAGAGACACGACGATGTCGTACAACTCGTTGCAGAGCGCGACAGACGCTACAAGAAGACGGAGACACAACCTCTGTACGCTGCTGGCAACATCAGCCAGATGAAAACCGTGGAGAAACACTACGACAACGCTGAAAAGCAAGCTGTGTTCAAAGCTAAGCGCGAGAAGGCGGAGCGTGTAGGCGAACTTGTCCGCCTTGTCGAGGACATGATTGTCAATGCAGTCAGCACTGAGCAAAAAGAAATTGACCACATCGTTGCAGCTATCAAGGACCTTGAGGATGGCAGCGGTGATCCAGCGGTCCTCGATGATGCACGAACCGCTCTTAAGGCTCTGAAGGAATCATCAAAAGCGCTTCTCTCCCTCTTCAATGCGCTGGAGATTGAATCCAATAACGCCGATATCGACGCGGAGATTGCGCAAGTGACAGCCGATGGTGTAGATCCAGCGCGCATACTCGAATTGGAGGCTGAGAAGAGGGAAGCAGAGAAGGACTTGTTGGAGGAGTTTCAAAGGAGGGTTAGTGTGCTGGATAGCGATGAGGCTGAAATCGGAGAGTTGGTGCAGAGGAAGATGGGAAAGAGTAGCGAGGACGCAGAGAAGGAAAATCGATTACGAATGGCGCTAGAGGAAGCGAAGAGGCGGAATGGTCATGCCTGATGATGGTATGGTCTTATGAATTTACGAAATGTGGCATCTTCTCCTGTCTATAATGTGTAGTTCATGGGTATCACAACAACCCCATTGTCAGTTACAAATGATCCTACTTTTCATCCTCGCCAGGCTACTATCCTCAAAGACCACTGTCCTTCCTCTCCCTCACTGGCCTCTTCGGCTTCTCCTCCACTTCCACTTCTACCTTCTTCTCACCCTCATCCAAATGCGTCCTCCGATCAATATCCAGTCTCTTCTGAAAGTACTCCCCAACGCCAAACTCATCGTACCGCTTCCCCTCCTCTCTCAAATGCGGCACAACACTAACCTTTGCATCTTCATTTGGGCTAAAGAAGAACGGCATACTATACCTCTCTTCGCCGCCGATATTCCTTACTCTATGCACAGTACTCTGCCACGAGCCGCCCGTAACCAACTTGAGGAAATCCGCAATATTGACAACGAACGTGTTGGGTTGGGGATGGACAGGGACCCAGATACCGTTCGCGTTCAGTACTTCGAGAGCTGGGTATGCGGTTTTGGATTGGCACACGAGCGTGAACCAGCAAAAGTCTGTGTGGGCACCGATTCCTACGTCGCTTTGACGCTCTTGGGGTGGGTAGTGGACGGCGCGGACGTTGGTCATTGGGTGTGTGGTTATGGTGTCGAAGTAGTCTTCGGGGAGGTCGAGAGCGAGGGCGAAGATGTGGAGCATGCGTTTGCTGAATTCGAACATGGATTTGTAGTAGCGGTAGATGGCTGGGCGCCAGAAGAGGGCGGACGGGTGGCTGGGCCATTGGTTGCGCGGGGTTTGTGGGGAGGGAGGAAGCGAGGAGATGAGGGAGAGTTGTTCTGAGTCGGTGAAGTCTTCGCCCATTAGGAAGCCTTCTTTTAAATCTAGATAGTGGTGTTAGAGGGATGAGTCGTTTTGTGGATGGAGGCAGTGAAGACGTTACCTCCTCGTGTACTTGGGTCGAGTTTGCCTTCTAAGAACGCTTCGTAACCCCTGAACTTCTCCGTCTTCTGGTTGTGTGTCTCCATTTTGACGTCGGTTGGTAACGCGAAGTACTCCTTCAATGCATCGAAAGTGTCTTCGAGTACATCATCGTCCACCCCGTGGTTCACTGCGTAGAAGAAGCCTATGTCTCGACATGCGGCGCCAACTTCTCTGGCTAGCTCTTTCCTGTCCTCCAAGTTGTCCGAGTATATCCGTCTAAAGTCGATTTTTGGCAGTTCGGTGAACGTCTCTTTAGCAGCGGTGCCCTTGAGAATTGGTCTTCGACCAGGAACTCCACCATCATGGTAATGAACCCATGTATCCGCGTACGTGTCCGTCTCGATAGTAGTAGTCGACATACTGTGATAAATGATGAACTATCTGCTGCTCAGATAGTCTTGAGGAATGAAATCATATAAAGCAGCAAGAGATTGCGAAGGCAAAAAGGTATACAAAACCGGTAATCCACTGCAGCGGGACGTACCGCAACCTTAATACGCAAGCCGACGCTCATCCTACCATAAGCCGAATCACATCCAGCTGGGAAGAAAAACGTCGGCTAAGTTGAAGGCTGCACGAGGGCTCCTACAGACCAATCGTGCCAGCCCACGTCGTACAACGAGGCGTAGTTGTCGTAAGCTGGACAAACCACATACCTGCGCATGAACGGTGTGGTGTCATCATGCCCAAGATTCCGAGGTTCACGCCCTCGGACAAGAGCGCATGCCGGGCAGGTCTATCGCCGCTCACCGGTCTACTTGCCTACGTATGGACAGTGTGAAGCGGAGCAAGATCCGGAGCTGGTATAGGACCGATGCTGTGCATACACGGACCTCGAGAGGGTGCGGAAGAGTACAGTAAGGCTGCTCTATGCGAACTGCTTCGTGTACTCTGGAGTACTGCGTCTGTCTACCTCTTGCGCGAATCAAAGTACTGTTTCAACCCCGTAGATGGTCTCTCTTCTCGACGGTCTCGCATATCAGCTGAACGTTCGCTGGACTCTCTACGTCACCCCCACCAAAAGCATGCATCCCAATGAGGCATTATCTGCAGCCACAGTGTAGCGGTCGGACGACCCTCCATAAAGACAGGGCCATACCAGGTGATGGAGGAGCGGCGCACTGCGTTGATAGCGTACCGAGCCATCGGATGCCGGAGTTGAGCGCGACTGGTATGGGTTGTTAGTTCACCACGTTGGTAGAGGGCGGCTCGTATGTGGTGGTGTGCTCGTCAGAATCGGCAGTTGGAAGTGACACATTCGCTCGGAACACCTTTCCTGGGACTCGCATGGCGATACTGCAGTGCAAGGCTTCGAGAAGGTGCATTCAGACCATGCGCATGACGCTGTCTTGATGGAACAGTAGAAGGATGAGTGCCCCGCTGTGGGTGGTTGTCCCGGGTTGCAAATCCCCCGCGCATGACGCTTGCCTCTTGCCGAAGACCCTTTATGGGCGGAATACCAGCATCGCCCTATCAAAGCATTTTGCGAGGTTTAAAATAAGTGACTGCCGATGGTGCTAACGAGAGGAGAAAAGCAAGTATTAGTGCGCAAATCGTATGTAAGCGGTGAAGGGACTGTATGAATGTTGGGATCGGCCATGTGATGATGTAATACTTGGGCACTCTCAGGCCGTTGGAAGACGCCTGCGTAGTATGCATGGACGCCCAATCAACACACTATCGTGATGAGAAAGCACGCTATCTCGAAAGAATGGCATGGCAGCCGTATCGAAAAGCTGATTAGCCAAGCATGGCAGTCAGTAGGATGATCAAGCAACTGAATACCATTATGCTAGTTAGGTTAGACAATGTTGAAAATCATAGAAAGATACACCAACTCCTCCGCCCACAGACCAAAAGCCTTGCAATTCCGGGGATATCATGAACCGTAAAAAAGAAACCGAAAGCCTCATCGACTACTCCAGGTAGGCAGCGCATCATACACGGCTACGATGTACCATAATGTCGTTGACCGCTGAACAGGTCGGACTTATTTCTTGCCCAACTTGTTCAACAAATCCTTGCCCTTGCCGAGCAGGCCCTTGCCGTTGTCCTCGCGCTTCTCGTCCTCGCTCTTGCGCTTAGCCTCGGCGCTCTTTCGCTGCGCAGGTTGTCCATCACCGATAATGTTGGCGGCACCTCCACGACCGTAGTGCTTGGGGCCTTGCGGCTCTGGGTGCGGCTTGCTTTCGACGTCTTGGGCAGCGCGCGCAAGGTCAGGACGCTCGGGGTCGTTGCGCGCCATGTTTCCAGTTCCACCTCGGCCCGTGGTGTAGGTGTTGGACTTGAGGGTTGGGGTGACGAGATCTTCTGGCTTGGGGTAGTTGGTAGGGTCGTCTTTTGCGATGTTGCCTGCAAACGTCAGTGGTCGCTCGGACGCAGAAGCTGGTGAACAATCGCAGGCACTCCAAGGACTGCTTTGGCTATGCGACAGAGGGAGGCAGTCTTTGCGCGCTGGTGTGCGCTGCAAAGACATACACACCCAGCCGTTCCACTGCAAGCGTCGCGGAGTCGCGCTTCACGTCTGGAGGAAAGCATAGGTAGGCTCACCAGCACCTCCGCGCCCGTGCGACGCAACACGCTGGTACTCGTTCGGTCGAGTGGTCATCCTGGGCGAATTGTTGTTGAAATGAGCTTTGGGAGCACGATTGATAGCAGGCTGCTGTTGTAGGAGTGTGTTCGCTGGCGCAAACCGTGAAGTCGCGGCGTTTACTTGGGTACAAAGCGTCAAGGTGAGAGGGATTGAACAAGGCCCAAGTGATGACGCGATGGCAGTCACAACACTTCTTATATTGACCGTGCTCTTGGCTCTTCCGCGACCAGCAAGCCAGGCGCAAGGACAAGACTTTCAAGGACTGTGCTCCGGTTTGCACGCCAGAAGGAATCGTGGTCGCTGAAGACCTTGGTGACAAGCACCAGTCGCCTGCTCGCGCCTGGGCACGACACGCCGGTGGTGCTCATTCTGGTTGACTAGGCGGCACGTTGCTTTCTGAGCCGTGAAAATCTCCATGCTGTGCGCGTGCGTGACTCTGTTTTTGGGTTTCTGTGACTAACGTCTAGTTGCTGCTGCGGGGTCCATAAGCCGAGCACTATGGGCGGGAGAACGTCATGCTCGAGTCGAAAGACGAGATCTGGGAGATGGTAGCGAGGTCATCAGGTATTTTGAGAATGTACAAAAAGCTGCCTCGAGGTTTGCTTACGACGCGAATGCGCGCATATATGATACAGGCACCCACGGGGAGAAGAAGCAAGCATGTAGGCGCGTCCACGCGGTACAGTAATCTCATTATCTATGCCAAGGCTTGGGCCAGACAGCGTGGGGTAGATGCAGATACGCGAGCGAACACCCAGTTCAACAATCCCATCAACCTTAACTTTCCTTCCTCACAGCCCAATTTCAGTGTAGAAAGTCTTTTCGAACTTGAAGTTGTTTGATTGTCATAGCCACGGGGTGTGGCTACTCATTATCTAGTCTATGATACATGTCGTATGGAAGCGAATCCAATAATGCATCGACGCAATGCCCATCTATCTCGCCTGGAAGGCGCCAAACGAAAACCCGGCTATGAAGTAGCCCTGCTTTCTATGAAAACGCCGTCTATATCCCCAGAAAGCAACCGTTGCCATGTCCATTGTACAGTCTCTTATTGTACAGTAAAAGAAGACCCCAAACGCCCAAGATGCAATTGATGTTACACAATAATGAAGAAGTCGATGTCGAAGTAGGAAATGGTGTACCGGAAGGACGATGCGATGTTGCCGCTAGTTCAGGGCCAAAGCCGCGGATAGCATGTGAAGGAGTCGTCGGTGTTGTAGTTCTTTACATCGATCCGGGTTTGTTTGGGAGTAACAACGGAGAGATGAAGTCGATTTGTTTAGCTGAATGAAGGGAAGGAGGTATGATCTGGTCCATGTTAGTTTGAGAATGGGCATGGTACAAAGCAGTAGACATACCAAGTCGACTCCAAGGTCATTAGCCACCATCGCGAGGTTGGGGTTCTGTTCCTGCCATGGAAAGCAACATTGATGATGATAGTCTTGCGCCTGGGTTTGGTGCTCCGCCGTCTCGAGGTTGAGGGTCGGCGTAGGAGGGGTTGTTGTTTTGCTCAAGAAGTGCCATGGTGGTGTGGTAGTTGTATATGGATTTGAGTTGGGGTTGGGGCTGAGATGGCTTGCTGATAGGCGTGGCTAAAGGTTGCGGGCTGTGGTTCGTGTAAGGTATGCAGGCAGAGTCAAGGTTGAGATGTGGTTGATGAGGTTTTAAGCCTTTGGAGGCGTTTGTATTGTCTATAAATCTATCCTGAGGCCTGTCGTAGTGCCTCAATGCCCGCCAGGAACAGGCAATGACTGCCTTCTTTCAGGCTGTGACGCAGCGAAAGTTGAGATTAATCCGCTCCGGTGATTCAATTGCTTGTCAAAAGAACCATGACTGCGCCACTGGAGAGGAAATTGAAAATGCTCATTGGGTGTGACCTGAGATACAAGGCGATTTCCAGGCTGCCTTCCTTCTAGCGTGCTTCCAGAAGGCTAACAGCCCTGTCTACCTCGATGGTGACTCTTTCGGTCACCGCCGTTTAGCAGCAGAGCCACGGTGTTGAAGCCGAATGACGGGCCAGGGCCCAATCTCCAGGCAGAAAAGCGGCCAGTGGATACCGAAAATGGTGAACTGACGTTCGGTGCCTAGTAGGGCTGGGTGAAGTTTGTGGGCACATGGGTTGCACAGCCGCAGCCTTAGAGCCACAACGCGGCGGGGCGCACACAAGGCACCCACAGGCAACTTCGCGGTTTGGCCTCTTGGATAAGTAGCAGCCCCAGGTCCTCCAAGTCGCCTCGGTCGTGTCGTTGATGACTCCTGTGCCTGTACTGCTCACCGGAGCAAACACAGCCCGGAGCAGCATTCTCCCGATCGGTCGTTGCTGTGGTGCTGCGCCTCGTGAAGCGATCTCAGCGATAGCGCGTCTGGGACCTAGCAGGGAGGACGGGGGCCAGGGGAAGGACAGCCGAATCGCGAGACAAAAGCGACGCGGTTGCACTGCAACATGCTGAGCAGCTTTTTTCCATGGCAATAAGGAATGCGAAATCGGTTTTCGAAACAGAACGTATGGTGCGCCAGCCGAGATGCAGGAGATGGGTGGTGGTTGATTGGTGGTGAAGGCGCAGCCTTTCTTTCATTTGTCGGCCTGGGTAAGCGGCTTTCCTGATGTGGCTGTTAGCGATGGAACTCCAGGACCATTCTTTTGGGAAACACTTACGGCCACCATCACCAGGCTGACCATTGCCGGGGTTCTTGGGTTTGTACATCGCGGAGACCATGTTGTCGGATTTGGCTGTGATAATGTTGTACGGGCGGTGTTCAGATTGGTGCAGGTGTGCTTAAGAGTGGGTAGAGGTGAGACTTTGTGTGAGACTTTAAAGATTCGCAAACGTTGTTTTGTATGGTAGCGGTGCAACAGGAGTGTCAGTACTTGTGACAGTGGACCGATAGCTGGGACATATATATTTAACTTCTGAAGTCATGGTCCTCCAGTAACTCATGATACTGACGTCTACCTTGGCCGTGTCCTCCATGATCCACGGGGCAACGGACGGGCCATCAGAGGGCACCCAGTACGTGGCCCTTCGGTGCGTATGGCAGGCACAGCCAACTGGAAGTGAAGCAATCGCACATTGCTTCTCTGGGATGACTCTTGGACGGCGTCTGAAAGGGGATGGAACAGGACAAAGCTGTCACCCCCACAATTCAGTGTGAAACAGCCAATCGTGGATCCGCCTCGCTGACCCGGTGTCTCAAAGAATCGTCGACAAGCCTGGCATCCGTGCCTGAATAACATAAGCTGTCGCGCCTATGTGAGGAAGGTCCTGGGGGACTAGAAGCTGCGGAAGCCGAACCCATTCGCTGCTTCACTCTCGCCATCCCTGCGCATCGAGGCCCGAGACCCAGCAGCACCCCTTCACAACCTTTCATAAGGTGTTTCTAGATTCCTTCTAGGTGCTTCGCCGAACAGCCGTTATGCCGTCATAGGACAGCGCGTCACCGCGTCTCAGGCCATGCGCGGTCCACCAGAGCCGCATGCGCTGGCGACACAAGATCACGAGGTTCCCGGATGCTGCTCCCAGACACGCTGTCACGTTCAAACGAGCCACGCCGCCAGTGCGCGCTAGGTCTGGATCGGTCGGCCCGCTCTCGGAGACGCAGGTACAGGCCTGGAGGGTGCGCCTACTGACGTCTCGAGAGCCTTCGTCAGCCAGAGATACGGCCAGCCAGGGCTCCGTTTCATCCCTTTTGCGGATGACACCTGGGCAGAGAGCTGGACCTGTGGCCGTGGACAAGACTGGGAAGTTTACGCGTTCCCAGTGGCCACGCCCTCCTTCGGTGCCCGGCTGCGCCCCAGCGCCCTTTACCAATCATCGACACATTGGAAAACCGCGCAGTTGCTGCGACAACATGTCGGGGAAAGCCCTACAGGTCGCCCTGCAGTGCCCCTCAGAGAAGGACTCTATAGTAGCCTTTTGCCTGCTGAAGGACGCTTTGCCTTTGCACCAAAGCAACACGAACAGAGCCTCCAAGGTCCTCCTGAGATCGCCACTCAGCATGCGCTGCACCCAGAGGACACAAAGTCTGAGTCGAGCACGAAGGACTACGGAAGTCCTCTGGTCCCAGGGGCTATAACCTTTCGGGTACCACGCGCGCCTCATCTTACAATAGCAACCAGATCTGAGACGATCTCAACTGTGAAAACCTTGGCTGGCGAGACTTTGAGTTGGTTTGGGTAATTCCAGACGCGCCGCTTGGCTGTAACTCGTGATTTGGGTTGCGCTTGCCGATGCACGTGTTGGACGTTAGCCAGACTGAAGTCTATCCTCAGAGACACTCATCTCGCGGAGGAGGGTTAACCACCCTCTATGCGCGCATCTGCGATCGATGCACAGCGACGCGCGTGTGCCGTCATGAAATGTCCGAGTTGAGAATGCCATGGTCTGCACAGTGCATTGGGCTCGCCCCAGAAGAAGCTTCATCTCTACGGCTTTACTTGCTAGTCAGTGCATCGCCATAGGGTTATGCATCCTCAGGTACAACTGTGGCGGTCGCGCATCGGTGCCTTGTTACTTTCACACTTTGCGCGTGTTGATCTGGTCGCGTGCCTGCCCAACACAATGCCTTGGAGCGTAATGGCCATCAACACCAGTGTTACAGTATTCAGAGGAGAGGTTGACAGTGAATGTAGTCCACGCAGCCTTGCTTGCGTCATGTGTAGATTCTAGTTGCCGGGCGATCAATCTTGCGCCATGTTGGATCTACGAGACCCTGCCGCCAGCCGCCAGCGGTCACTGCTCCACCCTTCCAAAAGCTCCCCGCAGCCACCACACGCGAGGCATCGCTGGACCCCGATAATGAGAAACACACGCACTCGCATACAACCACCACAGTCTCTACCGTGATATCTGAACCATGGCGACCAAGTCCAACTTTAAGCGGGCGGTGCCCCCGACACAGCCGTCGGTCCTCGCATCGCTGAGGACCACACAGTTGGTGCACGATTCCAAAGCTGTATTGCCAGCCGGTAGGGAGACAGCACCATACGAAGTCCACCGTCTGACGAAACAACGTAGAGCTCATCAATGCCATCCTCGATTACCTTCCCGTCGCCGACATGTTCAGCTTCGCGCGCACCTCGAGACGCATGCGCGAGATGGTATACGACGATACCAGGTGGATACAACGACTTCGGAGCATGGGCTGCTGGAATGAAGCCGAGGCCAAACAACGATTTGAGGAATCCATGCGGAAAAAGCTCGAGGCACAAAAAGCGGAGGAGGCCCGGAGGTCTGGTGTTGCACTCAATGGCAGCACCAACGGGATGCCTCTGGGGGATGACGTACCTGGCAAGACAAGCATGACACTGTTCGATGCCACCATAGAGGAAGACATGCTGCGGAAGTCTCAGGAACACCGAAGTAGACCTCGCGCTACGACGTTGGACAAGGGCTTCAACGACATGACATTGTCACCTTCCGGAACGTTGGCACAGAGCTCGTACGCGGTGGATCCGCAGGCAGCTGTCAAGGTCCTTGCGAATGTACGCTCGATTCGAGGCATGGCGCGGCAAGA